CATCTGGAAGAAGATGGATGGAATTAGATATCATTATGTTAAATGAAACAAGCCAAACTCAGGAGGACAAATGGCACTTGGATTCTTTCATATACAGACTCTCAAGGAGTGGGAGGGGTGGTAACAGGACACCTGTGACAGGAAAGGAAGAGTATTTGGGAGGTGAGGACCAGTAAGGAGCAGAGGACAGGAAGGAGACAATGGTGGGGGTGGAATAAGAAATATAATTGTGTACAAGTACAAAAATGCTACAATGAAACCATTACTTTGTATGTTAACTTAAAAATTGATTTAAAAAGTAACTATATGCTGACAGACAATTGTTGGGATAAAAAACATTTAAATACACTTAAAACCATTCCTCTTCTGCATCTTTATTCCTGCCTTCAAAACAAGATGGCACAGTACAGTCCTACTCTGGCTCTAAAATGACCTGATGGGCATATAGCTTATTTATTTAGTCAGCAAACGTTTAATAACCATGTAGTGTATGTCAGTCACCACATTACTCAGGACACACTGGCTTCTGCCCTAGAGTGGGTGGCAATATACAGAAGTGCCTTGGATTCTGCCCGGCAACAGATATCAATCTCCATGTTGTTTTCAGCCATGCCCATGGGGTCTATGGGGTCTTCCTATGCACAGGCCTACATTATTTCTCTTATTTATGAACAAATCGGGGACAATTTTTCACCAGCTACAGCGAGCTTTGTGCTTTCCTTTACTGTGAATGCTTGGGGTGGCAGGGCTAGAGACTCAACCCACCACCTTGGGCAAGCCAGGCAACTGCTCTGCTACTGACCCACGAGAAGGGCTTCACGCTGGGGTTAGTTCCAGAGCAGGCAGGTAGGATTTAGTGAAGAGATGCGAGGGATACCTTAGCTCATTCTCACTTACGGACTCTTCCCTGGGGGTCCAAGTTAGAAGCCTAGAGATCATCCAGATGCAGGCCCACATCTAAACTCTTTCATATCTTTCCTCAGTCTCAAATTCCTCTTTTCTCTCGTTCCATTGTCCTTAAGCTTAGGCATTTTTTTCTTGTTTTTCAGGTTGCCTTAACCTCTTGACATCAAGGCTGTCATCACAAAGTTAAAAAAAAAAGTTTAATTTAAAAAACAGAAATTAATTTTTCACCATCAAAATATGCTATCAGTGGGTGATGGTGGTACACACCTTTAATTCCAGCATCCAAGAGGCAGAGGCAGGTGAATCTCTGCAAGTTCAAGGCCAGCCTGGTCTATAGAACAAGTTTCAGGCCAGCCAGGGCTACACAGAGGAACCCTTACTCAAAACAAAACAAAACAAAACAAAACAAAACAAAACAAAACAAAACA